TTGGCCAGTTCTTTCACAAAGCTGACATAATAGGCTGAATAGCCTCCCTCAGCTGTTTAAGATTATTCTAACCAAGATTGGGAATTTATGGGGTGTGGTCCAGAACCAAGATTAATAGGATTTGTATTTTATTTGAAAACTACCGGCATATCATCTTTTCCAAAAATATTGAGAAATGACTGTCAAAAAGACAGCAGTCAAGAAGAAAACCCCACATCTTTCAACGAAAGAAGTATGTAAAATTGAAACAGCTGAGGTTATTCTTATTCACTGAAGGCATGTGGTCATCACAGACAGCCAATTTTTACATGATAAATCACACTGCGGTAGTTGCAGGAAAATTGTAAAATTGAATTGTTCAAAGTGATTAGCCCCAACTGAAAAGTCTCTAGTCATATGTTGTACTCATCTACAACACTACCCCATGAAGTTTGAAAGTAATTGCACTGCAAACAAACAAGTTCTAAGATAATATCTTGGCCTTTAAAGCTAGATCTCACTTTACTTGTACGGAAAGCATGAGAGTATTTCTACAGAGATAGAATTGAAAAATAAAATTATGCTAAACTTGAATTGAACCTTGGTCAGACCACACCAGGAGGAGTCCTTCATACAATTCTGATCACTGTATAATAAAAAATACATCGTAGAGGTATTGGAGACAGTGCTAAAAAGACTTAAAAAGATGACACCAGAAATTTGAAGTGTGCCTATCAAGATAGATTGAATAAGTGTGTCACTATTCTGTTGAAAAGAAAAGGCAGGGATATCCCGCTGGCAGTTTTGAAAATTATTAGTTTTTGATTGCTCAAAAGTTAGAAGATCAAAGTTAGGGACCACAATACAAGGTTGTTATCAAGAAATTAAATAAGGAATTCTGAAAACAAATCTTGAATAGTGGGAATGGGGAACTCTCTATTGCAGGGAGTGGTCAACAGTATCAATGCATTTAAGGTAAGGCTGGATAAAACTTTGAGAGAAAAGGGAATAGAGTTGTGCTGATAGTTAGATAAGGAAAGACACTAGGAGTCTCAAGCAAAGCATAAACATTGGTATGGACTGATTGGGCCAAATGGTTTGCTACTGAGCTGAATATCCTATGCAATTCTACTCAGAGAGTAGTAAGGGCGTGGAATGCCCTGCCTGCAAAAATAGTAGACTCGCCCACTTTAAGGGCATTTAAATGGTCATTGGATAAACATATAGATGATAATGGAATAGTTTAGGTTAGATGGGCTTCAGATTGGTTTCACAGGTCGGTGCAACATCGAGGGCCGAAGGGCCTGTACTGCACTGTAATGTTCTATGTTCTATGTCGGTACCAACTGTTACTGCACATTCACTAGCTTCATTTCAGTGGAACAGAAAAGAAGATTTGCAATCAGCAACCAAAGCTAACACTTCCACATTGGGTTAAGACTGTTCATTATACAGCAAACTTTTTATTAACTGGCACCTATGGGACCAGTGTACCTGTTGATCAAATATTCCAGATAATGAAGGAGGTACGCAAAATCACAGTAAACTCTGACTATGCGAAGCATTAACAACCCTCAAAAAAACTGTGTAAAACACACCTTGTAAAATCAATGTAAAAACATACAGTAAATAATAGAAACATTATGTGGTGGATTATACACATCATTGTTATCCTTTATTTACAACACAAATACTCGGATATCGCGGTATCTGAGGTACACAATCTTAGCAAGTTTACCAAGAGTGTCAGTTAACAAAGTGCCGGGTAAAACAAAGTTTGCTGTAATTCCCAATTGCCTATTTGAGTGATAACAAAGACTGGAAATAAAACTATACTTAGATAGTCTAAGTTGGGAAAAAGCCCATTAAATTCACCTCGATCAGAACCCAAATATTGTGAAATCTCATCCAACTACATTGGATATGCTTTCTGCTAATAAAAAGGTACATTTCAGAAGCACAATTAAACATGCTTATTCTTTTTAGAAGTTGCTTTTTTAAACAACTCAAAGTTCCAAGCATTCTTTTAAAAGTTTCTACTGGTGATCCAACAATAGCTGTATGTTCTTTTTAATGGGGAAGCTTGGGTAGTCATAGGGTATTAAGAAGCTAAGACATGCCAGTGTTGAATTAAGTCTGATACCAGCAGAGGTGCAAGATCAACATATAGGAGCTCCCTGATTTACAACATCTGAATTATTAACACTCATACATTACAAAAACGATGCCATACAGCGGTGTAATTTTAAAGATCCAACATATGAACATTTCCTCAACTTACAAATGGCTATTTTATATTGTCCTGCATGTGCCCCCACTTGCGTGCAAATCGACTTGCGAATGGACTCAAGAACGCCGAGGACTACCTGTACGCTCAATTGCATAACGTAAGACAAGATCAGACAGGGGTCCCACGCAAACAATATCCAGGCTGTCCCTGAAGGAAAGTGTGTATTCAAAGCACAAGGTCAAATTTTGCCCTGATATCGCCAGTCAACTGGCACCAGTCACAGTGCGGCACACATTTGAATAGCCACCTGAAAGGGGTTACCATATGGGGAATCCATAACTTTGTGGCAGTCAGCATTTTCAGGTAAAACAGAAAAATATTTGGGAGGGAGGTGAAGTTGAAAATGTATCACTGTAATACTTTCACTAAAACAGGGCAATAAATTAATTCCAGTGTATTGACGTTAAACTTAGATTGAGCCATTCATCTGCAATACAAGTTCTTGCTTTTGTTGAAGATCAGACTGTTTATCAAAATCAAATAAAGGCTTTTTACAAAATTGAAGAAATGTTAGCTGCTTCAAAAACTGTGTTCATAGGAAAGATACTTACATGCAGAAGTTGAAAATACTAATGATCATAACATTTCAAAGGAATCCATGTAATTTTTAATTTGGGGTAGGATTTTCAGAGTTCATGCTCGAGTCCAATCATTCGTTCAGCACTTACTCCAACCGTGCAGTAAGTTGGCCACCACAAGGTTTACAATTCTGTAGACAAGGATGTTGTGACAAGGTTTACAATTCTGGCTTAATTTATTAAAATTAAGCGCAAGGTGCTCCATGTCAGATTGCTGAGAAGAATCAGTCTTTTTAAGCATTGAGCCAAAACTGTTACTCATTTGTGCTTTTATAGCAAGTGAGGCTGGCATTCAAGAAGAGATTAACAGACACATTTGCTGAGCTATCGAGGTGTGTAAGCACAGAGGCAGTTTCTGTTTCTTACAGAGGCAGTGTCAGTTTCTTAACCAACATGTGAAACAGCATAAATATTGCAACCTGAGTGTTGAATTAATTTAACAAACATGAGACATAGTAACTCATTTCAACTGTTCCTACAATTGCTGAAGCTCGGATTCGCATCAATGCCTCCAGGTTAGATGTCAGATACAGTCACGACTGAAGTCAGGAGCCAGTCAGCTTACATGGATAGCACATGATCCATAGTGAAACTAATTGTGTGGGTTCAATTTCTATTCTCGCTGTGGTGGATTTGGGTCTTGCATTCTCACCCTACCATGAGAGTGCAAGGAAATGGCAAAGCATCCCTGACAAGAATTGGAAAGATAAATGGCCGAAGATGAAGCATTAGTCAATAACAAGCCAAAGACTTGTCTTCAGGCAGAACACAACTGAATGAATGAACTCGAGAAATGGGCATTCAAATAAGAAACATAAGGATGGCTGGCAACTGCAAGATAATTGCCCAGTGTAGTCACATTTTGGGAAAGGAAGGAAATGGTCAAGATTTTAAATAAATGCTTGTTAACAGGTCATGTAGTAATGGCAACTTAGTCTACCAAGTTCTAAACTTGTGTTTTGTTCTACCTCAATGCTGTTTATGCATTCTGGACTCAATTTGATGGACTAAACAGCATTCTGGTCCCATGTCTGTGCCATAAACATGATTTTTAGATATATGGCTTCTGTCATGAGAAACCCAAAACACTGACATATTCTTTGTGTAGATGATATCTAAAAGATTACATCACCAATTACCAAATTCTGAACATTTAATCCGTCAATTAATGATGCAGTGATGGCCACCGGCATCTCCTCACTGAGATGTTGAGAACATTATTTGTGGAGTCTTGTTTAACACTTTAAGGACTCCTCAGAGTTAAGCATTCTGTCATTTATAACAAAGGATAAAGTTAGTTAGTACGTCTACATTTGTGCAATGACTCTCAAACCTGCGTATCACTAATTGAACCGATAATACCCAAAAGTTCTTGGAATGAGATATGTTACAAATTCTTTCCAACAAAATCATCCTAAAGTGAAAATGTTTATTTCATGATACAGACTGATAGTTTGACATCAAGGGAAGTTTGACGGAGTTTATTCTATAGCTGGCACTTATGACAAGAAAGTGCAAATAGTTTGATAAATGAGAGAAAGGCTGGTCACCATACAGTTGGCCATTGTAGTTTGGGTTTAAATTAGAGTTGGGATACTTCACCCTGCTGGTGTGGGACGGACGACAGTTTGGGGAAGGAGGTCACTGCAAACTTGGCCTGGAGAGTTTGGGAGTTGTTCAGTAGGTTAAAAAACGTACTCAACTGGCCTCCCACTATGTGATTCAATTAACACGTGCAATAAAGAGCTATTCAGTTTTATGTAAACCCACCGATGAGCATATTTAAAAATTGTACACAAGTAAATAATCAGCATTACGACTGGCTGGTCCTGTCTTTTGGCAGAAAGTTCTCACTGGATTTAGCTTCATTTTCATTGGTTGATCCTGTGAATTCTGCTGGTGGATTGGTCAGGGTTTCCTTCTCGTGATGGGGAGTCGTCAGGGTGGACTTGTCACAAGGCTCTGCACAGCTGTCAGAAGCCAAAGATACCTGCTGTGAGGAGAGCTCTTCCTGCAACATTCAAACAAATCAAAATAATGGTCAGTGTGATACCATTGTAAGTGAACTAACTGTACTCAGATGCACAAGTATGGATGACTCTACACAATGCAGACACTGCAGCCACTGCAAACCAGAATTATGTGAATTAATTTAATCTCTTCAATTGCTCAGGGGATAAATACATTGTATCTTATAGTTTTAAGTTGCACAGGCTAGAAGGTATTAGGTACCAGGCCTCAATCTATGCCAAACTGGCTGATGTATTCTAGGTCAGTAGTTTAATGGGGCACTACAACTGGCTCATGCATGACAACAGTGACCACAGTTCAGTAATAAATGTACTTCATCAGCGCCACTTCTAAGATACAAATTTCCACTTCTGTACTATTGACTGGCATTTTTCTACCGCATCTACTTGAAGGTCATCCAAAACTTATCTGCCAGTGTATTAACTTGCACCACATTCACTGTGGCCACTGACCTACAATACCTCCAGGTCAAACAAATTATGCATGGAAACCGAGAGCTGCAGCTTCACAGTTGGTAACTGCGGATTCTCCAACAACATGCAAGAAAATTGGACAGACTTTGACAGCACTGGTCCTGTATTTCCTCTGACTGTCACTCGACTCTCCTACAGCTCGATGCGGTGAATCTTCAGTGGGTGTCACTGTTAGGCATGGCTGAATAAAATATGGCTGTCTACATATGTCTTAAGCATTCAATTTTTTAGATCAAGGTGTATAATTGAGTAAATTTTACATTTCTTTGCAGAGTCCCTCTGATTTCTGCCTTCCTGTTATGGGGGATGGTGGGTACCTGAAGGTAGGTTTAATGATTTGACTGATTTGCTTGTGAGCTTGTTGGATTCAATAGCATTTTAGGCATTCTGCATATACAACATCGTTGCAGTAAGACATAATCAAAACCTTGGATGGTACAATGGCTCAGTGATTAGCATTGCTACCTCAGTGCCAGGGACCCAGGTTTGATTCCACCCTTGGGTGACTTTTGGGTTTGCACATTCTCTCCATGTCTGCATGCGTTTCTGCTGGGTGCTCATATTTCTTACCACAGTCCAAAGATGTGTTGGTTGGGTGGATTGGCTGTGCTAAATTGCCCATCTGGTGATGAGCAGGCTGGGTGGATAAGCCATGGAAAATGCAGCATTGCAGGGATGGAATGGAGTAGTGGGTTTGGGTGGGGTGCTCTTCAGGGGTTTGGTGTGGTCTCAATGGGCCAAATGGTCTGCTTCCACACTAGGGATTCTAGAATTCTAAAATTGCTCAGATTATGTGTTCTTGTGCCAGCTACCCATATTTACACTACATACACCAATTCCATTAACATGGGGCAGGCCGTTTCTACAACACTGCCGACGGTAAAGAAGCAGTTTGCACGATGTATGCGGGGAAAATGGTGGTGGGAGGGGAGGGCATGGCAGGACAGCAGGGAGGAAGAGGAGTTGTATGCTGTGAAAATGAGTGAAATAGGAGCAAGTGCAACACATGATAAAGAATCCTGAGAGCAAATGCAAATAGAATGCTAAAAGTAGTAGAAAGGAGATATAGAGGAAGGTCAGTTGTTAATGGCAGAAGATAGATCAACCATATTGAAAGCAAAGAAGAGATAGGTAGTGAGAGGTGGTGAGGGGTGTTCAGAACAGAAGGATACTCAAAATGGAGGGCAGAGTTCATGGTTTGAACTTATTGAACTTAATGTTGAGTCCTGAAAGCTGTAAAGCGACTAAGTAGAAATGAGGTGTTGTCCCTCCAGGGGCTTCACTGGAACATTGTAGTAGGCCTCGGACTGAAATGTTAGCATGAGAGTGACATGATGTATTGAAATAGCAAGCACCTGGAGAGGCAAGGAATGATTAGGGATACTCAGCATGGTTCTGTGCGAGAGAAATTGAGCCTCACAAATTTGATTGATGAGGGCACAGCGGTAAACATTGTTTATTTGAACTTTGGTAAAGCCTTTGTCAAGGCTCCGCAGGTAGACTAATTAGTAAAGTTAGATCACATGAGATTCAGGGTGAGCTTGCCAAATGGATACAAAATTGGCTTAAGGGTAGGAGACAGAGCGGGGTGGTGGAGGCCTGTTACCAACAGTGTTCCACAGGGATCAGTGCTGAGTCCACTTTTGTTTTATATAAATAATTTAGATGAGAACATAGAAGGCATGGTTCATAAGTTTGCGGATGACATCAAAAATTGGTGGTATAGTGGACAGTGAAGAAGGATATCTAAGATTATAAAGAGATCTTGATCAATTGGGTCGATGGGCTGAGAAGTGGCAGATGGAGTTTAATTTGGATAAATGCAAAGTATTGCATTTTGGTAAACAAGCAAAGGTAGGGCTTATTCAATTAATGGTAGGTGCCGGGGTAGTGCTGTAGAACAGACACCAAGGGGTTCATGTACATAATTCTTTGAAGCTTGCATCACATATAGACAGGGTAGTTAAGAAGGCATTTAGCACACCTGCCTTCATTGCTCAGACCTTTGAGTATAGGAGTTAGGACATCATGTTGAGGTTGTACAGGATGTTGGTGAGGCCTCTTCTGGAGTACTGTGTGCAGTTCCAGGTGCCCTGTATGGGAAGAACATTTTTAAGCTAGAGAGGGTTCAGAAAAGATTTACCAAGATGTTGCCAGGAATGGAGAGTTTCAGTTATAAAAATAGGCTGGGGCTTTTTTCATTGGAGCGCAGAAGGTTGAGGGGTGACCTTATAGAGGTTGATAACATCATGAGGGGCACAGATAAGGTGAATGGCAGGTATCTTTTCCCTAGGGTTGGGGATTTCAAGACTGGGGGGGCATATTTTTAAGGTGAGAGGAGAAAGATTTCTCGCCCGAGAGGCAACTTTTTTTTTTTACACAGAGGGTGGGTCACTTGTGGAATGAACTTCCAAAGGAAGTGGTGGATGTGGATATTGTTACGTTTAAAAGACATTGGGATAAGTACATGAACAAAAATATTTGGAAGGATATAGGCCAAGTGAAGGCAGGTGGGACTAGTTTAGTTTGGGATTATGGTCGGCATGGACTGGTTGGAAAGAAGGGTCTGTTTTCGTGCTGTATGACTCAATGTATGGGTTTTTCTTGAGGATAGGGAGCAGGTAGCCTGCAAAGCTGTTGATGTGACATTGGCCACCTTAATTTCTCTGTTCCCCTCACGCACATTGACCTGTCTTCTTCTGAACTTGTTGCACTCTGTCCTTTCAGGTCTAACCCGGACTTTACTGACAATGGTGGTGCCACTGCCATCTGGTGTGGCACCTCTACCATGTAGAGGCTGGAAGCCAATTCTCAGGCACTTCTTCAATCACCTCCTAGATCATCACTCCATTACTGAACATCAGGTGGCTGTTACCAGGATGATCTCTGGGGCACCTTTACCATCTGTTCCACTCACTTCACCTCCTCCTCCAAATTTTACAACATAAAAATCTTCACTTTTCCCACCCCATTAGTTCCAAAATTGATCTGATGCATTAAATATTTTTCTCTCCACAGACACTGCCGAACCTGCTCAGTTTCTCTAGCACTTACTATTTTTATTGCAGATTTCCAGCATCCAGAGTTCTTGGTTTTCACTTTATATAAGCCAACACCAATTTATGGAATACTAGCAGAAGCGATATTTCATACATCGTTTTCACTCAAAGTATATTCCAGCAATACATTAACTTCATACAATTTTTGGTGAATTGTTGAAAATTCTTTTAGCCAAAGTGACTTCCGACAGACTTACCGGTTTGGATGTAGGTGGAGGCAGTGAAGCAACACACAAGGCAACATCTTGTGAACTGGTCTGAAATTTGGTTTAAAAAAGAGATAATAATTTTAACATTACATGCATTTTCAAAAAAACCTCCCTTTCCTTCTCACCAAATATCATAAAGTACCTTAACAGTAATGGAGCCTGAGACGAACAGCAGGCAGGCTCCCCCTCCAGGCTACTACAGTCTTCGAAACTGCACAAAGCCAGAGACTATCATCAAAATTCTCTATCTCCCAGTTTATAGCCCTCTCAATTTTCGAATCAAAAAACATTTACAAGTCTATTGACCTACTGTCCTTTTCTAAAAAAAACAGCATAACCTCCAGGGCCTGTTTTGGGTCTGCAATTTAAAAGCGCAGGAGACAAGGACCAACAGACTTACTGTCAAGTATCACTTACAATAAATGGACAATTAGGATAGCTTTTACAGTTCAGCTGGCCCCAGGCTGTAAACAAGCAGGATCCACATTCTGTGAAATGAGCGGACACATGGTGACTGTACTCAAGGACAGAAATTTGGAAATGGGACATGCTAAAAGCTTTTGAACACAAATTATAGATCACTTGAAAGTGAACAATGAAACCTCAGGCACAGAGAGTAGTTTTTTTTCTGATAAACAAACATGTATCACATACAAAAACATTCATCATTTTTAAGAATCATCAAGCCAAACAATTTAGAAGTCCACAATCATCTGTGAAGTTCGTGCTTGAACAATATGGAATGCATACAAATTCCCTTCTGGGATACATACAACAAAGGTAGCCCAATATTTTTAAATGCAGGTTGGCAGATTTAAACTTTGAAGAATCCCCAAATATGCACAGATGGTAATCCAACCAGTTAATACTATGCAACTGTCCAAATCCACATTCTATTGCTTGATACTAGCGATGAACACCAATATGACTTTAGCTTTGTGGAACAGCTGGAGTGAGAGAGGAACGTGAATGCCTAGGGAGAGATTCTGGTAGTAAAACAAGCTCAGTGCTTGAGCAAGACATCAGAAATCCACCCAAGGCTGTCATGCGGACTTGAAAGGTGTGACATTTTACACCCAGTTTAGATTTGTATTTTAAAGAAAGCAAACAGATAAAAATTAATGTGACATTTATAAAGCAAACCAAGCAATAAACTACAATAAAAGTCTGCTCAACCAATAACCATCTAACGTTAATAATTGAAAAGCTCACTGGTATTGTGAACTATGTTTTTTTAGAGATTAAAGACTGGGACACGGACATTTTACAATCTAGTGCTATATTTGACTTATGAGCTTAGTAGAGTTGTATAAAGGGTTATTTTTGTTCTGTATCTGATCCACATTATACTTTACTGGGGAGGACTTGATGCTAACAGTGGGAGACAAAAGTAAAACAAATTACCACTCCCAACACTCAGATTCTTTGGCTCAATTGGCCTAAAATGAACAACAACATAGCAAGTTATCAAAACCCAGTTTCTAATAAATATCGTAGTCTTTCCTACTTCAAAGTGTCAATCAGATACTGAATTAGACTGACACTTTAACATGTGATGCTTAATCATAAATAGAATTTTTTAGGGTTACATCAAAGTTTCAGGAGATCCCAAGATAACATGGTTAAACCTGTTCATACCAGTCTCAAGATAGACCAGTATGTTGGAAGAACTGCAAATTTACTTAACTTTATTGTTATTATTTTGAAAAATAAACATCTTCTATTCACTCATATCAAACTGGTATTCACCGCAAATCCACTTCCATTCCAGAACATTGTCACCTCCTTGCGCCAGCAAGCCACACAGATGCTAGTGATCAGAGTGCACGGGACCAGGTAAAGGAGGGCTGGTTGGCCTGTCTGCATCAGTGCCAGGGCAAGAAAGGTAATGAGAAGTCCAATGCCATAAGCTGTGGAGGAGAAAAAACTTCAATTTACAACAATCATTTGCATAAACATGAAAGGTAGGTGTAGAAACTTGAAAATCTCTCACTGTCCAGTACTCTTTTAAGTGAATGCATTTAATATTTCATTACACTCAACTAGAGTCTGCCTCATTTCCCTCCGGGACTTTATATACGTTTCTGTGAATATTAACTTAACAAATTCAGGTCCTAGCTTTAACCTTCCTTTGGATATTCCCATTCTACTGTTTACCTTTCCATTTTGGAAGCAAGACAGATTCATCAATTTGGTCTTCCCGAAGTTTTACTACAAGACATATGAGCAGAAGTAAGCCATTCAGCCCATTGAGTCTGCTGTACCACTCAATAAGGTCATGAATGATCTAATAATTTTCAAGCTTTTCAGGCTCTACAACTTAAAAGCCATTATTATAGGCAATTAAATCCATTAACTGCCTCTTACACTAGTAATTAATAGGTACAAAGTCTTAATTACCTTTTACATGTCCCCTTCCTGAGGTTTGATCAGATATAAAGGGTCTTCTCAAACTCTTGACTGTTTTGACAGAGTTTGTACTTGAAACATTAACCTACCATGTGTCTTTCTAGTGTTAATGGTTATGCCATTAATTTCAGCATTTTATGCATTCTTGGGTTGGTTTTCCCTCTACTGGTTAGTATAGTCATGGAGGTCAAGTTATTGATATTTTTCACATGTATTCCATATATTCAACATTAAAGGAAAATGTTACAATTTTCTACCTAATTATTTATTATGTTAATCAAGATTAAAATATTTCTGTACATTACATATGGTGTGTGTATTATTCTGTTTCAAAATCCTTGTTATTCAGTTGGATTTTACATTTTATTGTACTGCTCAACTGTGCAACTCTAACTGTTACAGCTGAAAGAATCTTCTATGATGCAAAATTAGCCAATTCCAGCTGAAGGTACAATCATTATGAATTGACAGTAACAGTGCACCTTGAATCATTGGCTGCCTGTGCTGCAGGATTCATTCAGCTCATCATACCTGCATCAATTCTATGAAAGATTGACCAAAAATAGTCTCATTCCCTTTCCAGCCAATTCTTTGTATTCCCTGCAACCAATACTTTTTATCTTAAAGGTGTGTAGTAGATATATAAAATACACACACACACGATAAAAATATATGCTGAAGTTCCTGCTCTACAAAGGGTCTTAGTGCAATGAAGAAAATGTCGGCACTTACCAATTGTGCAAGCCACAAAATAAATTCGTGAGGTCTGTGCCTGAATGTCAAACCTGTGGCAATAGGCCACCAACATTCCTGAAAGGAAGACCAAAAAAGGAAGCTATTACTTACATTTTTGGATAGAAGGAGAAAACGAAATTGCAATTTACAACAATGATCTAAGAGAATTTCAGGAATGAAGGCCCTACAGAATGGTCTTATCCTCAACTATTTGGAAAACGACGTGTCTTTCAATTCAGTACAGACTGATAAGCATATACAAATGTGGGGGCTGCTCGGTGTTGGCCTCCCACTGGGGCCAGCATCTTTTTGCTATTTAAGACCAAAGTCCTACAAAGAACTATGTTGATTCTGCATGCGGCCAGGAAAATACATAACGGTCAGTAGCTCTATTGCAAAGGAAAACTACCTTGCAACAAATTCAAAATTCTTAAATAATTCAATAGTTTCTTGTATTTGATTAACCGAATATTTGAATACATCTAGTTTTAGGGTAAAGGCCTAAAGCAGGTGAATATCCTGAAAATTTGTTTACCTGGTATTAAGACATCACCAAAGCCAAGGAGGGAGAATGGCCTGTCACACAGTGCCAGAGGTGACGAATTCAAGCGGGGCACTTTTAGCACCATCGGAAGCTAAGAACAAAAGAAAAATCTCACCCGGAATGCAAATGGTTTAATTTGATTATATCAGAGAGAAGAGTTTGATTTACTTTGAATCTGTTTTCCACATAACCAGACTCTAACAGTTGATTGCACTTTAAGGTGTCAAGTTCATTTATTTCATCACAGTAGTGAAACATGATAACACAATTATACCTATTAGTACCTGACTTGGACAGATTTAGAATGAATCTAAATGGTTGTAGAAGAATACTGCTAAACATCAATATCCCAATGATGAACATAATGAGCCTTTTAGCTTGCCATTCCGACAAAGCATCAACAAACCTATCAAAAAATCTGCTCTACAGCAAATACTCTTGAGAAATAGATAATTGGTTGGTAAGCATTAAATAAGCAGCACAAGATCCTAACAGACTCATAGCTAATAAACGGTAAAAATCTTTTGAAATTAGCTAGTTTACTCCATCTGAACACAGAATTTCAAGGTAAAATATGCTTAGCCACCAGCACAGCAATAGCTGAGCCACTCAGACCAGGAAGGTCTCATTTGATCAATGCCTCTGCAGTTACCTTCTCTTTCCAGGTCTGCTATTGATGTCAGCCTTTTGGAGATATGCCACACGACCATAGTTGTACTAAATGACCTAATTTTGAACGTGTCCATGTGGATGGTGAATAAGAATAGGACTAAACGGAGCTTTGATAACTGGTGCAATCAGGCCATTTTGCCAATGTTCATTTCCACGTTTACAAATAAATAATGATGATATAGGTGGGTACCTAAAAGGTACCAACCATAAAACCAAACTCAAATGAGGAGTCAGAAGATGGAGCCCAAGGTAAAACTGTAGGGAAAATTCAAGATTCAAAAGATTCAAAGATAGAAGTACCAGAACTTCCTGAGATGAAACTGTTAACTCCTCCTGTTTCAGTCTCTGTCTATATCCCCATCCTAAATTCTGGGAATGAGATCTCATTGTTGTATTAGAATCAGGTGTCCAAACCTCTAGCAGAGAAATGGAGGTAATAACACTGGAAACATCTGGTTCACATCCTTCCATTAACAGGAAAATAAAAAGGCCTCAATGACTGAATGCGCCAAGTTAATCTTCTCGCTCCTCTTTTTACCCTTTCATGTAGGCCTAGAATCAAAAGGAAATCTATTCCAATCAGCTCTTTCTTGGTTGGATCTCACATTCAAGGGGAATGGCACCTGGATCTGTCAAGGAGACTGACCAGCCTATTTACCGTATTTGGCAGAATTTCTAGAATAGCCCAGGAATGCCTTCAAAGTCTGTTTGGAACACGGCAGGAGAAGAGCCTAGCCAACAGAATTGCTGTTCATTGCAGTTGAAAACTCAGTTCTGCTTCAAGCTTCAGAGTCCTGCTCAAACAGGAGTGTATTTTCTAAACCAGATTGAGTGCTATGGATTTAATAATTAAGCCATAAAATAAAGATTAAGGTAGCAAAATACAGGAGTCAAGTGGTTAAAAAGATCAAGCAGGAGAATCCCAAGTGCATGATCTCCTGCTCTCATAAAACTTTGAAAACTTACACTTGCATAACATTCCAAAGATACTGCAAAATAGTTGCAAGGAATAAAGAAAACAGACATACATCAGGAAGGAAAACAGGGAAATGCAAGAGTTATGGAGGGATGGGTCAAGCAGTTAACTGTAAATAGGCATGACAGAGCAGCTTATAGGACAACGAAAAGGAAGAGAGAGTGGAATGGAATAAAAAAATTCAAGTATTTTAATAATTTGTTGATAGAAACACTGCAAAGGCCACTGCTGGTTTTAATAAGTAACATGACAGCATGCTTTCAGCTGTACCTTCTCTTGAGTGGAGAAATCAGAAGGACCAGCAGCAACCTCCATCATGATACTCTCCCCGCTCTGAAACACACAAACTCATCACTCTTAGGAAATATGGCTTCACTTCAAAAATTATTTCAGTGCCCTTTAGAACTCTTGGAAAACAACTTGGTGAAGAAATCAGAGTGAGGCAATAATATTCTCCACTCCACTCCCAACAGTCCACAGCCACCCACTGCACCCAAAATTACCTTGTTCATGACTTAAGGTTAAGCTGCTTCTTTTATGCATTTTTTTCTAATCATTTTCTTTAAATTTGAAGCAATACAAAATTCTTTATAAGTGTAGGATGCTTTTAACTGGTGTCTTAGCATTCAAACATATCCCACAAGTTAAAAGAGTTAGGGCAAAAGGTGCTGGCATTCTGCCAAATTATGTTTCTTCCTATTTGTCAGTTAAATGAATTAAAAGGAGCTCATGTGGAATTGAGAGTCACGTTTAAAAACGGATGAAAACTACTCAGCTCTTTCTTTTAATGAAAACAGCAGACACGGCTTGGTTGCCAAATAACAAAGGACAAATTGCTGCAAACATAATTGGTAATAGTCACATATTCATTTTGGACCAAAAAAGGATAGATTGGGGTACTTTCTAGGTGGTGTGACATTAAATACAGTAGATATCCAAACAGACTTGGGGGTTCAGGTGCATTGATGTTTAAAATGTCACAAACAGGTCCAAACTATAATAAAACAAAACGTAACGAAATTCTGGCCTTTGTATCTAAGGGACTGATGAACAAAGATGCAGAAGTTTGCTGCAGCCATACAAAACCCTGCTTGGACCCTATTTAGAGCACTGTGAGCAGATGGGGATGGATATATTGGCCTTTTTTTGAAGTACAACATAGGTTTATAAGAATGACACCTGGATTTCTGGGTTAAGTTGAGGAGAGATTAAGCCTGTTTCCTCTAGAATTTAGAAAGTTAAAGGTGACCTGATCCAAGTCTTCAAGATATTAACAGTTAAAAGACAGGTAGATAAAGATAAACTATTTCCACTGGTTGAGGATTCTAGAAATAGGAGGCAAAGTCTGAGAATTAGGGCCAGACCATTCAGGAGAGATGTTATGAAGCACTTCTACACACAACAGGTGGTAAATGTTTGTAACCCTCTTCCACAAACAGCAGTAGATGTTAGATTGGTTGTTAATTTTAAATTTGAGGTAAATTTTTGTTAAATGAAGGCTTTAAGAGAAATGGGCCAAAGGTTGGTAAATGGAGTTAGGCTACAGATGAGCCACAACTCACTGAATGGTGAAACAGGCTCGATGCGCTGAATGGCCTACTCCTGTTCCAATAACGCCTTTTGTCTTTCTTGCCCACTTTAATTGGGCAAATAATTTCATACAGGATGCCTACAGCCAGCAGAAATATTTTTCGCTATTTGCCTAGGCTGGATTAGATCCCAAAAGTCAGAGATAGAGGCCAGTATTTAATCCACCGCACCAATCATGTTGGAACGAGTGACTGCCAAAATTTGGTTGCTGAATACCATTAGCTAATAGTGACCTACATACTTTCAATCAATACAGATTTGTATGTAGAAGCAAAGGCAAAATCTCAGTTAATCTCAAAAACAAACTGCAAAGTAATTTACCTTTGCTACTGAAATATTAAAGGTTCTGCAGGCAACACATTTTTCAGCTTACCTGTGTAAGGAATGGTGTAATGGAGACAAAAAATATATCGTAGACAAACAGAACTGTCAGCAGTAATGTGCAAGCCTGGATAAAACAAGAGAGAACCATTAAAGTCCAGAAACAGTTAATACTAAAGTTCAAAGCAAACACCATTAAAGTCTGAAAAATCTATGATTAAAGTTAAATATAAACACCAGCACAATCTATAAATGGTTAATATTGAAACCAACCAAAACATTAATGTGTCTAATCAGTAACCTGCTTCATTGTCAGTCCAGCCTATCAGTATGGATCAAGCTGCTTTCAACAAATTCAAAGAAACATGGATAGCTTTGTGATGAACCAAGTGATTGCGGGTTACAGAATTTTAATTAGATGATAATCTTATCCTTCCTTTACTAATTAAATTTCAGGTCTCTGCTCCTTTCCAAGCCACAGCTTCCCAGACTGAATTTTTAAGCATTACTGTCATTACTATACATTTCTTTACATATGTGACAACAGATTGATTTAAAATAAGTGCACACTTGCCAGAGATAAGGTATTCCAACAATCCATGTTGGGTATGGCAAAGTGTGCAAGCATAAACAATGGTATTAGATACATGGGAACTCTGACCTTCAATGTTAACAGGTCTGCACTAGCTAGAATTCGCAGTTAGCGCCACCTAGTAGTGTAAGTGAAAATTACTGCAACATGTAACAGGCTTTTAATAGACTTAAACTGATTGAACTTCCGATGAGAGATCTGCCTGAAATATTATCTCTCTCTCAATGGATTCTGATTGACCTGCTGATTATTACCTGCATTTTCTGTTTTTATTACTGAAGTAAATGTTCCAGATCCTGATCACACTTTATTTGCGGGATATTTAGAACGATTTCTGAAAATCTGATAGCAAATATGGAATCACAACGGTTAACATGCAGGTATAGCAAGCAATTACAAAAGCAAATGTTAACAGGATATCATGACTCAGACAGAGTGCAACAGAGGTTCATTCGAGGCTCACAGGACTGATTTCTGGGATGAGGGGATTGTCTGAGATTAGGTTGATTGATTGATCGATCACATACTTGCTAGAGTTTATAGAATAAAACAGAATCAAATAGGTAATTTATTGTCACTTGTATTTTTACAAAAATGCAGTGAAAATTGTTTATGTCGTCGTATTCCAACACCTATATCAATAACAGAAATCATATATAAAATAAAACTAAGACAAAGTCCATCTTTGTTCATTTCCTGGCTCAAGGTTGAAGTAAAAACAGGAACCACATTCTCCACCGCTGCAGAAATCAACATCAAAGCTGCTGGAATCCCAGGTCAGAAGACATTTAGAATAAGAGGTGATCTCATTGAACATAAAATTCTTAAAGAGCTCAACAGAATGGATGCTAGGAGAATGCCCTGGCTGGACCATCTACATAGTAGGAGGCACAGTCTCAGATTAAATTGTCAGTCATTTAGGATTGATGTGCAGAAAGTTTATTCTCTGAAAAGGTTGCAAACACTTCGAATTCTCCAATGAGAGCTGTGGATGTTCTATCAATGAGAATATATCGAGGAAAAAAAACTATTTATGCAAAGAAACGAAGGATTTCAGACTTTTTCTTAAAATTCATGGAAAGTAGGTGTTACTGATTAGGCCATAATTTATTGCTCATCCTTTATTGCCCTGGAGAAGTCAGTAGGAAGCTACATTCTAGAACCGCTGTAGCCCATATGATGCAAGAACACAGTGTTATTACAAAACAAGTGTCAGTCTTCAAATCAGCAAATGAAGCAAGCAGCGATCTACTTCCAAGTCAGGATGGTGAGTAGCTTGGAGGGGAACTTACAGGCCAGAGTGATCCTGTGTTTGCTGCTCTTGTGGGCTTCCAATCAAGCAAGCTGCCTTATCCTCAATGGTATTGAGCTTTGAGTGTTTTAGGAATTGCATTCATCCGGGCAAGAGAGTATTCCACCCTAATTGTGCCTTGTAGATGATGGAAAGGTTTCGGGAAGTGAGGCAGTCAGTTACTCACCACAGAATAACCAGTCTCTGACCTGCTCTTGTACCCAGGGTACTTGTATGGCTGGTCCAATTGATTTTCTGATTACTGGTCACTGGGAATGCCCAGGATGTTGATAGTGGAGAATTCAGCAATGGTAATGCCACTGAATACCAAGTGGCAATGGTTGGATTTTCTTGTTTGAGATAGTAATTGCCACACTCTTGAGTAGTGTGCAAGTTTATTGTCACTTGTCCTCCAGAACCTGAATGTTGTCCAGACCTTGCTGCATTTGGAGATGGACTGCTTCAGTATCTGAGGAATTGTGAGTGGTGCTGACATTGTGCAATCATTAGTGTATACTGCATTTCTGACCTTTTTGAGACACTGTACAGATAAATAACTCAGCTTTATCCCCCAAATTCAACCAATCTGATTGGCTACGATAAGCTGATACAACTTGCTACCTCATAACTGAAAGTGCTAATAGATCAGGTTTACCTCATTAACACGATGAGGAAGATGTGGAGACAATATGTAAGAAGTCTGTGAAAGTTCCCCCAACTATCAATAATAAACCTAAAGTATCTAAAAAGTAAATTGCACAAGGGGAAAAAAAACCTCTGATAATGTCTAACCAGCCAGGAGCTTGTTCATTATAGATATCCTTTCAACCAGTCTGGCCATTATTGTCAATGGGTCATATATAGATCAGCTGATGGATTTAGACTCTAGCTATCCAAACTTTAATTGTAAATATAATTTCATAACCAGCTAGTATTCATGCAACAGAACTCAAGGCACAGTACCTTAAAAGTTGGGAGTCGGATTGTTTTCAACATGTATAGGCAAAAGGCAATCCCCAGAGTATCTTGCAAAACCCAGGCCCATCTGTGAAACAGGATCCATTCAGTACTCAAAGACTGTGCAATAAATCATTGCCCCAAAAAAGTAGCAACACCAACATGATACTTCATAATAATAATGTCATTAGTACAAGCCATTTACTCAGGATGTCCATTTAAAGACACCTTTGGTACCTTTCAAGTAATTTTAAAAACAGTAGCTTTTAATAACTCAATTTTCACTTAAGGTTAAATAAAGAAAACCAGCAATTATGAAATATCAAATTATGAGAAAACATCTGCATGTTTGCACTCTGACCTTAAATTAGCACCAATCAAACAGAAGTGGGTAATTGATATAGTGCGATAATCAGCAAATAAATTTCATTGCGAGAGATTTAGGTATACATATTAGACAGTGAACACAAATGTATAAATCTGCATATTGTAATTTTAAATGTATAATAACACAATGCAAATAGGAGATAAACAATCAATTCATGAAAGTCCTTTGTACAAGAGTGGTTTAAAATCACCTCTACACATCTAAGAATGCTCACATATTGGGATAAGCAAATATTCACACCATGTAATTTCAAAATCAGTAATGCAAACAGGTACAAATAATAATTGTTTAACTCAAAGATTAACAAAAAGCTAAATATTGTAAATTCTAGCAGACTGAAGCAATATATGTAGGAAATAGGCTAGCTAATTTTATCAGAATTTTTAAATTTAACATTTGAATAGGAGCAGAATGCTGTGGGAAGTTAGGGAAGAAATGGCAGGGGCCCTAGTAGAAATATTTTTATCATCTGTAGCCATATGTGAGGTGCCAAAGGACTGGAGGGTGGCTAATTTTGTGCCTTTAATTAAGAAAGGCTGTAAGGCGAAGTCTCAGACCTATAGACCTGTGAGCCTGACATTGGTGGTGGGTAACATGTTGGGAGGTGATTCTGAAAGATAGGATTTACATACATTTAGAGAGGCCCCAAGGAATGATTAGGAATAGTCAGAATGGTTTTGTGCAAGGGAAATTGTGTCTCACAAACTTGATTAAGTTTTTTGGGGAAGTAACCAAAAAGATTCGCAAGGGCAGAGCTGTAGTTGTTTACCTGGACTTTGGTAAGCTTTTGATAAGGTTCTGAATGGTAGACTAATTAGTAAAGTTAGATCACATGGGATTCGGGGTGAGGTTGCCAATTGGATACAAAATTGGCTTTACAGTAGGAGACAGAGGGTGGTGGTGGAGGGTTGTTTTTCAGACTGTAGCCCTGTGACCAGTGGTCTTCCACAGGGATCATTGTTGGGTCCACTTTTGTTTGTCATTTATATAAATTATTTGGATAAGTATATAGGAGTCATTGTCAGTAAATTTGCGGATGACACCAAAATTGGTGTTGTAGTGGATTGTGAAGAATGTTATCTAAAATTACAAAGATATCTTGATCAATTAGGTCAATGGGCTGAGAAGTGGCAGATGGAGTTTAATTTAAATAAATGCAAGGTATTCCATTTTGGTAAAACAAACAAGGGCAAGACTTATAAAATCAATGGTAGGGCTCTGGGTACTGTTGTAGAACAGAGAGACTTAGGAGTTCAAGTACATAATTCTTTGAAATTTGCATCACAGGTAGACAGGATGGTTAAGAAGGTATTTAACAAGCTTGTCTTCACTGCTCAGATCTTTCAGTATATGAGTTGGGATATCATGTTGAGGTTGTACAGGAGGTTGGTGAGGCCTCTACTGGAATAATGTGTGCAGTTCTGTTCGCCTGGTTATAGGAAGGATATTATTAAACTGGAGCAGGTTCAGAAAAGATTTATCAGGATGTTGCCAGGAATTGAGTTATAAAAGTAGGATGGAAAGGCTGGGACTTTTTTCACTGGAACATAGAAGGTTGAGGGTGACCTTACGGAGGTTTATAACATGATGAGGGTGAAGGTGAATGGCAAAGGTCTTTTCCCTAAGATGGAGTAGTTCCAAACTAGGTGGCTAGGAGGAGCAGGAAAGCTGACGTTTCGGGTCCGGACACTTCTTCAGAAAATTTTCTGCTCCTCTGATGTTGCTTGGCCTGCTGTGTTCATCCAGCTCTACACCTTGTTATCTCAGATTTTCCAGCATCGGCAGTTCCTACTATCTCCAAGACAATATTACTTACTTGTCTTCATTTCTGAATACCGCCCACACACAACTAATTGAGACACAAAGTATGCCCAGAACCAACATCCGTACTTGGGGACGCTTGTGACTACATGGTAGGTCTGGAATCCTGATTAGAAGAGGAGAAAGATTCAGGGTAATATCAGTGGAACGGCAAGGAGAGAATTCCAGTTTCAATGTTGCTTTAAACTTGGTTTTTACATCAATTTACAAAAGATATATTCTAAGTTACACCATACCTGCATTCACAGAAAGGAATTCTCCCGACACATGGAGACAGGCAGCTATAAAGCCCAATGGAAGATGCAAGGCAGAAAATTCCTATGATTACATACACTGGTTTTGAAACAAGAAACAATGAGTAAGGACTTAGTTAATGTAACTTTTGAATATGCACAAGTGTCATACTAGTTTACAAATTTCTTCCGTCAAACATCACAATTCAAATGGAGCACCTAATTTTAACCCAAAAATTCCATGTTGTTTTGAAAATTTTTTCCTCCTGAAGATACAGACCTCTAGTTCCAGACAACTAATACTGAACAGCATCTCACCTGCTCTGCATAGGAGTCTAGACAGTCAGCATCAGCATATTAAGTGTTGATGACATCACACTGGAGTCTATTCTTACAGGTGCCGGATGCCCGTACTTCTTAGTAAGAGTCTATAGTTCAGGAGTCCTGAATCATGGCTAATTTCTTTTACCCCTCTTTATCTAGGAGGTCCTAATGTGAATAGAAGTATTCTACCATTTGGGTGAGAACAGCAGGGGCAGGTAAGATTTTGAAGAATAGTTGTATTAACAAATGGATTGAACCTGGGAACTTCTTGCAAAGTGTGACTCAATTACACTCACTAGGCCAAACAGCATCTCTTTACAAGTCAAATGTTCTACTTCAATAAAATATGATACTATGTCAAATATTTCAACCATCCACCCATAGTAAGAAACGTTTTGTATGTAAAATGTAACAAACTGTGGCACAAGACTTGCTGCCATCTAGCTCACTCCCAGATACTTGGACATTCGGTAGCAGTGACATACCTAGTTGATGGTAGAAGTAGTAAAGGAGCACCAACATTGAGCAGCACATAACCACAAAAATACAGATCATAATTGGTGTAACATCGACAGTTTCATCATCCTGTTTGTCTGCCCCATCGTGCTTGTGTTTCATATAGCGCCTTAAACAGGAACAAAAATATTAAAATACCACATTTCACATGAGTATAAAAATGCTCACATAACTGCCTGATGTTTATTTGATAAAAACTTTTAAATTGTGATAACACTAGCATGTCTTCCCCATCTGTTACCACCCTGGAGATAATGGAGGTGAGCCGCCTCTGTGAAGCGCTGCAGTCCATTTGGTGTAAGTAGCCTCACAATGCAGTGAGTGAGGGTCTCCCAGGAATTTGATCCAGCAATTATGAAGGAAAGTCAACATAGAGTGCAACTTGGAAGAGAACTTGCAGATATTCCCATGTGCCTTACATTGTAGTGCAACACCGGGAGAATCAGACACAAGTGCAAATAGTGACCACTACTCTCTTAATTTAGCTGTGAAAAACTCTCGGTTCCTGTTGGACAGATAATCAGAAAGGAATTCTGGCCTGCACCCAAAGTTTCTCAAAGAAATTTGAGATCTGAATTCAGAGGAGCAGAGTTTGATAGTGAGAATATGGCTTCTCATTCAGTCAACACAGCTTAGGCAATGGTACCAACATCCACCCTCAAGATCACACCCTGATCACAAGTGTATTGCAGAATTAGATAGCTGAGAATGAATAGAATTGCAGCCCACATCTGTGAATGAATAAAAGAAATTTATACACATAATATCCCAAAAAGTGGATTTGTACTGCAAATACTCCTCTGGCAAGTTTGGCCAAGGTGACTGAAGGAGTACTGACAGCTATCAATCACATAAAACACTATGCACAATTTACTTAGTTCCATGCAGCATGGACCACCTACTTTTTCACATCTTTGCTTCCTGCCCAGTAGCCACCAATTGCCACTGTTCCGACTGCCATGACGAAGATAACCACCATGTTATAGTCCAGGAACGGTTCGTTTGGGGCATACATTGCAACTTTGATTGATTTTCCAAATGTCTGTTGTGAAAATAAAGCATTTTGTTAAAACATAAACGTTATTCATTTGGTTTTGCCAATTGGAATGTTACACATCAGACACCAACAGCTGTGAGAGGACTTAGTCACAAAATATGTTAATAGAAGTGGTAAAATTTGAGACATTTTGAACATTAAGCTTTTGATATTGTTCTAATTGCACGGTGTTTAACACCTATGAATGATCAGTATTGGGGTGTAACAGTATTGTGTCACGAGGGCCACCTTTTTGGATCAAAGAATAAATCAGCCTTCCCATGATGAGCTTAATCTTCTGTTTTCATTCATTTGCATAAAGGGAAGCCGTTGATATCAGTAGATCCTACTTCTGAAATTTAGGATTCATCTGCTAACGCAATATAGCAAAGATAAAATTAGCACTTAACTAATTGGCTGATAACATTCAAACTGCTCAAAACCATCAAGGAAAAAGTACAACTTGAGATAGAACTGAACCATAGGACTGTAACAGTGTGCAGGCAACGGCTGGTGCACACCATCTGGACAGCCTTGCCCCACAGTGTACTTTACAGCATAGGAAGAGGCTATATGGCCCAATAAGTTCACGCCAGCTCTCTTTGGAGCACTCCAAGTTATCGGGACATGCTGTAAAACATTTTAATTACATTTTAAGAGCCTAAAGTCAATTGTTTTCTTAGTTTCATGTCAAGTAGATCTTTTAGGTAGTCAATGCTTCATATAGATTAACCAAACTCCATTTGCTCCATTTGTTCAGCGGCGGGAGTCGGGAGAGAGCACGAGGGGACTGCTGGGAAGGTGAGCTTTTTATTTTTAAAGACTTACCTTGTGAAATCAGCAGCCTCCATTTTTGCAGCAGCAGTGGGAGCGGTGAGAGCGAGGACCAGGGGGCTGCCGGGAAGGCAAGTTCTTTATTTCAGCAGCGGAGCTGTGTGGGAGCAGTCGAATTGTGCTCTGGGAAGGTGAGTGAACTGATATATTTGGGCAATGGTTAAACCCAAGACACTACATGTGTAGTGTCTCCCACCCGCCCTACGCCTCTAACGAAAAGAAAACTCTGTGGTGTGTTGATAAGGTAAGGCTTTTCTTTTTCTTTTTTTTATCCTGTGCTGGTAAGTAGAGTGATTGGTAAAAATTTTTTCATTTCATTTATCTATTATTTGATATTATAGTAGGACTAAGCTAAACTTAACAGTAAAAATGGCAGGAGATCCCAGACCCGTGATATGCTCCTCTTGCTCAATGTGGGAGCTCAGGAACGTGGCTGATGTCCCGGACTCCTACACATGCAGGAAGTGTGTCCAGCTGCAGCTCTTGTTAGACCGCATGACGGCTCTGGAGCTGCGGATGGACTCACTTTGGAGCATCTGTGATGCTGAGGAAGTCGTGGATAGTTTAGCAAATCGGTCACACTGCAGATTAGGATTGCTGAGGGAGAAAGGGAATAGGTGACTAAAAAGCAGAGAAAAAGCAGGAAGGCAGTGCAGGTGTCCCTGCGGTCATCTCCCTCCAGAACAGGTATACCGTTTTGGACACTGTTGGGGGAGATGGCTCACCAGGGGAAGGCAGCAGTAGCCAGGTTCATGGCACCGTGGCTGGCTCTGCTGTACAGAACGGTGGGAAAAAGAGTGGAAGGGCTATAGTCATAGGGGATTCGATTGTAAGGGGAGTAGACAGGCAGTTCTGTGGTCGAAAACGAGACTCTCGAATGGTATGTTGCCTCCCAGGTGCACGGGTCAGGGATGTCACAGATCGACTGCAGGACATTCTGAAGGGGGAGGGTGAACAGCCAGCTGTCATGGTGCATATAGGCACCAATGATATAGGTAAAAAATGGGATGAGGTCTTACAAGCAGAATTTAGGGAGTTAGGAGCCAAGATAAAAAGTAGGACCTCAGAGGTAGTAATCTCAGGATTGCTACCAGTGCCACGTGCTAGTCAGAGTAGAAATGAAAGAATAGGCAGGATAAATGAGTGGCTTGAGAGATGGCGCAGGAGGGAGGGGTTCAGATTTTTGGGACATTGGGACCAGTTCTGGGGGAGGTGGGACTATTACAAGTCGGACGGTCTACACCTGGGCAGGACTGGAACTAATGTCGTAGGGGGTGCTTTTGCTAACGCTGTTGGGGAGGGTTTAAACTAATGTGGCAGGGGGATGGGAACCAAATGAGGAGGTTAGTGGACAGTAAGGAGGTAGTAACTAAAGCATGTAAGGAACTAGATAATGAAGTCAGTGTGACTAAGGGGAAGAGTAGGCAGAGCAGATGATGAACGCAAAGGGACAGGTGGTCTGAGGTGTATTTGTTTTAATGCGAGAAGTGTAATAGGTAAGGCAGATGAACTTAGGGCTTGGATTAGTACCTAGGAGTATGATGTTATTACTGTTACTGAGACTTGGTTGAGGGAAGGGCAAGATTGGCAACTAAATATCCCAGGATATAGATGCTTCAGGCGGGATAGAGAGGGAGGTAAAAGGGGTGGAGGAGTTGCATTACTGGTCAAAGAGGATATCACAGCTGTGCTGAAAGAGAGCACTATGGAGGACTCGAGCAGTGAGGCAATATGGGCAGAGCTCAGAAATAGGAAGAGTGCGGTAACAATGTTGGGGCTGTACTACAGGCCTCCCAAGAGCGAGCGTGAGATAGAGGTACAAATATGTAGACAGATTATGGAAAGATGTAGGAGCAACAGGATGGTGCTGATGGGCGATTTTAATGTTCCCAACATTGACTGGGATTCACTTAGTGTTAGGGGTTTAGATGGAGCAGAATTTGTAAGGAGCATCCAGGAGGGTTTTATAGAGCAGTATGTAAATAGTCTAACTCGGGAAGGGGTCATACTGGACCTGGTGTTGGGGAATGAGCCCGGCCAGTTGGTTGAAGTTTCAGTAGGGGATTACTTTGGGAATAGTGATCACAATTCCATAAGTTTTAGAATACTCATGGACAAAGACGAGAGCGGTGGACAAAGACGAGAGCGGTCCTAAAGGAAGAGTGCTGAACTGGGGGAAGGCCAACTATAGCAAAATTCAGCAGGAGCTGGGGAATGTGGATTGGGAGCAGCTGTTTGAGTGTAAATCCACATTTGATATGTGGGAGGCTTTTAAAGAGAGGTTGATTAGCGTGCAGGACAGAACATGTCCCTGAGAAAATGAGGGATAGAGAGGGCAAGATTAGGGAACGATGGATGACAGGTGAAATTGTGAGACTAGCAAAGAGGAAAAAGGAAGCATACATAAGGTCTAGGCGACTGAAAACAGATGAAGCTTTGGAAGAATATCAGGAAAGTAGGACCAATCTAAAATGAGGAACTAAGAGGGCTAAAGGGGTCATGAAATATCTTTAGCAAACAGGGTTAAGGAAAATCCCAAAGCCTTTTATTCATACATAAGGAGCAACAGCGTAACTAGAGAAAGGGTTGGCCCACTCAAGGACAAAGGAGGGAAGTTATGTGAGGAGTCAGAGAAAATGAGTGAGATTCTTAATGAGTATTCACCGAGGGACATGAAGGATGTTGAGGTTAGGGACAGATGTTTGATTACTCTAGGTCAAGTTGGCATAAGGAGGGGGCAAGTGTTGGGTATTCTAAAAGGTATTAGGGTAGACAAGTCCCCAGGTTCAGATGGGATCTATCCCAGGTTACCAAGGGAAGCGAGAGAGGAAATAGCTGGGGCCTTAACAGATATCTTTGCAGCATCCTTGAGCACAGGTGAGGTCCCAGAGGACTGGAGAATTGCTAATGTTGTCCCCTTGTTTAAGAAGGGTAGCAAGGATAATCCAGGTAATTATAGACCGGTGAGCCTGATGTCAGTGGTGGGGAAGCTGCTGGAGAAGATACTGAGGGATAGGATCTATTTACATTTGGAAGAAAATGGGCTTATTAGTGATAGGCAGCATGGTTTTGTCTTACCAACTTGATAGAATTCTTTGAGGAAGTGACAAAGTTGATAGATGAGGGAAGGGCTGTAGATGTCATCTACATGGACTTCAGTAAGGCGTTTGATAAGGTTCCCCATGGTAGGCTGATGGAGAAAGTGAAGTCGCATGGGGTCCAGGGTGTACTAGCTAGATGGATAGAGAACTGGCTGGGCAACAGGAGACAGAGAGTTGTAGTGGAAGGGAGTTTCTCAAAATGGAGAACTGTGACCAGTGGTGTTCCACAGGGATCCGTGTTGGGACCACTGTTGTTTATGATATACACAAATGATCTGGAGGAAGGTATAGATGGTCTGATTAGCAAGTTTGCAGATGACACTAAAATTGGTGGAGTAGCAGATAGTGAAGGGGACTGTCGGAGAATGCAACAGAATATAGATAGATTGGAGAGTTGGGCAGAGAAATGGCAGATGGAGTTCAATCCAGGCAAATGCGAGGTGATGCATTTTGGAAGATCCAATTCAAGAGCAAACTATACAGTAAATGGAAAAGCCCTGAGGAAAATTGATGCAAAGAGAGATCTGGGTGTTCAGGTCCATTGTACCCTGGAGGTGGCAACGCAGGTCGATAGAGTGGTCAAGAAGGCATACGGCATGCTTTCATTCATCGGACTGGGTATTGAGTACAAGAGTTGGCAGGTCATGTTACAGTAGTATAGGACTTTGGTTCGACCACATTTGGAATACTGCATACAGTTCTGGTCGCCACATTACCAAAAGGATGTGAATGCTTTGGAGAGGGTGCAGAGGAGGTTCACCTGGATGTTGCCTGGTATGGAGGGCGTGAGGTATGAAGAGAAGTTGAGTAGATTAGGATTATTTACATTAGAAAGACGGAGGTTGAGGGGGGACCTGATTGAGGCCTACAAAATCATGAGAGGTACAGGCAGGGTGGATAGCAAGAAGCTTTTTCCAAGAGTGGAGGACTCAATTACTGGGGGTCACGATTTCAAGGTGAGAGGGGAAAAGTTTAAGGGAGATATGCGTGGAAAGTTCTTTACGCAGAGGGTGGTGGGTGCTTGGAACGCGTTGCCAGAGGAAGGGGTAGAGGCGGGCACGATGGCATTATTTAAAATGTATCTAGACAGATACATGAATGGGCAGGGAGCAGAGGGATACAGATCCTTGGAAAATAGGCGACAGGTTTAGATAGAGGATCTGGATCGGCGCAGGCTTGGAGGGCCGAAGGGCCTGTTTCTGTGCTGTAATTTTCTTTGTTTTTTGTTCTTTGTTCAAACTCTGTTTTAAAGCCAAAAGAATACAACGATATACAGAACCTTTAGGAGAAGAAACAAATTGAATAAATTAGACCAGACTAATCCAGCTGATATCCAGAATTCAACATGATAAAGCAGTATATCAGCTGCTAGTGTTCCCAACAGGCTTTGACAGCCCTGTACTATACCAGAATGCCTAGGTGGCAGATTTTATTTACAACAGGAAAGACACAGTGGCACAGCTGAGCTGGAATTCTTCTGCAGAGCTTGGGAAACCTGTAGTATACGATACAGAGTTACTCACAGCTCTCAGTCCATCCTCCAGGTCTCCACAAGGAGACAAGCTGGTTCTACACAAACTAATGCATAATGTAAAATAAACTGATGAGAATGCAGTATGATATGCTTGTACACTGCATGTGAAATGGCACATTCCCACGACTGACTGTATTACCAATACAAATTTCTGGTACTGGATAGATACTGCTTTCTGCTGGACAAAGGAAAGGAACATTAACTTTAGGGCAAATGACTCTCACACTTCTCTACATTCAGACTGAGAGTTATGCTTTAATGTTCATTTCATCGTCAAGGTCATCTCCTTCCACTTTAAAATTATCATTTAAGTTTTAAAATCCCTCCATGGTCCCAGCTCCCCTCATCTCTAATTTTCTTCAGCTCTTAATCCTTAGAAATCCCTGTGCTCATCAATTTTAGCCTGTTCAGTATCTTCTTTTCAATCACTGTACTACTGCCTTTAAATGTGAAGATCCTAAGCTCTGGAATTCCTTCCATTAATCAGTTCACATCTGCTTGTTTTGTTGCCCCATTTATGATATTCGTTAAGACCTCTTGACCAAGCTTTAAATCATATGTCCTCTTATCTCCTGGCATAGTTCATGTTAAATTTTGTTTGATCATAAAGAAAGCTGTGCTTATATAGCACTTTCCATGATCACTGGACATCTGAAAGGGTTTGAAACATTTTTGAGGTGCAGTCATTGTAAGCCATGTAGGAATCACAGCAGCCAATACATGCACGGCAAAGTCTGGTGAAAAGCAATATGATAATGATGTATTTGTAATGTTGACTGAGGGATAATTAGTGGCCAAGGTAGCAGGGATAGCTTCACTGCTCTTCTTCAAAATGGTAATATATCCCCGAATTTTCACTCCCGAGTTATAAGTGCAGAGTCTTGAAAATTTCCAGGGCCACAAACCTGACTAGTCATCAACAGGAATTGGGGCCCACTGTCTTGATAAATAGCTCAGAGGCATCCGCCAGTGCAGAAGAGGGTGTTTAAAAGGGCAGCCTTGGTGCTCTGGATCTTTGCCCCAGCTGTTAATGAAAGTAATAAAACAAAAAAAGTCCCCAGTCCTCTTCTCACATGCCCCATTCATACCAATCTACGTCAACTCATGTTCATGCTCATTCCCACATGCCATCTCATACCCTTCGACCTAAACTCCTCTGTTGACCCCATATCCCTTTATAGCTCCTATGACAACTCATATTACCCTGCGCCATCCTTTGCTCATACACTCTCCATTCCACCTCAACCAGTATGCACTATGGGCAGACCACAGTATATATGTGGAGACTAAATAAAATAAAGGTCTATGTATCTATTGATAACTTCACTAAGTGTAAGGAAAAAAATTGATTTTTAACAAATTACTACCTTTAAATTCATTTAATCCCTTATCAAAATAGTCCTGCAAAATAGCAGTACAGTCATTTGGAACTGCCAATTAAACTGTGAACCGATTGGTATCCCACCGTGATGACAATATGTTGTGTCCCCAGGCTTATGTGGAGAGTGAAATAGCAAGCACTGATTTTTGTTCTAAAATTTCAGGCTATTTTTCAGAAAAATGGATAGGCCAGAAGATTTAAATGTCATAAAATATTTACAATTCTAATGAGTTTCACAGTTCCAATGAGTTTATATACGTTTTCCACACATTCATGTCTACTTTTAACAGTCTCAAAGGATACTAGGACCTCACCGAAAGGTGTTCAAGGACATTTCCAAATAACTCTGGCAGCTTTAGACTTTCTCCTGAAAAGTGTAACGCCCGCAAGTCATGTCTCAGGCATCTCACAACTGAAATAAAATCAGAAATTGCTGGTAAATCTTAGCAGGTCTGGCAGCATCTGTGGAGAGAAATCAGAATTAACACCTCAGTTCCAGTGAGCCTTCTTCTGGATCTGAAATGTTAACTCTGATTTCTCTCCATAGACGCTGCCAGACCTTAAGATTTTCCAGCAATTTCTGTTTTTGTTTCAGATGACCAGCATCTGCAGTTCTTTCAGTTTTTTGTCTAGTATCTCACAATTGAAAGTGCATTTGTTTGATGACTGCTACAGTTTAAAATGTGCAACTGCCTTCTTGAACCATGGATATGCCAAGTAAAACCCACCTTCACTTTCCCATTGCAACAATAATGGGTGCTAGGTTTCCAGAATTGTGGCTCTGGTACCGCTTTGGACAAGTCAGAGTCCTTCTCTGTCAGTATGAAAGTTCATGTCATAGAATCTTTTACATCAATGTCCAGGCAAATAGGACCATGGCTTAATGCTCCATCTGAAAGACAGTACCTCCAACAGTACATTTCTCCCTTAATTCTGCACTGGAGTATCTGCCACAATTCTGTGATCAAGCTCTGCAACAGAATTTCAATGAAACCTACTTACACAGAAGCAAGACTGTAAGCCGTAGCTGATAACGCTCTTTTAAAAGTGCTGTGGGACTCTTTACAACATTAAAGGCACAATGTAAATGCAAGCTGTTGTTGTCACAAATCTTTTGTTTCCTCCAACTTCAGAACAGGCCAGCAATAGCTGCAACTAATATGGATAGGTGGAAGCGGACTACAGCCTCACTGTTCCTTCCTGACCCAAAGGCAATCAACCAAATTTCCCGCTTCCTGTCAATATCCAGTGGTCCTTGCAAGAAAGTGAGTGACTGAGAGTGGATGCCATGTGAGGCAAGTTTCAGACTTGACGGAATGGTTCTACAGAGTTTGAACACACTGGGTCGAAACAGCATATGATAGCCAACACCGTGGAGGCATAGGCATATTAGTGATATTGGTAGAGAAGGAGCAGCAAAAAAAAACTGTTAAAAACAGCTTTAAAAACATATTACATCAAAACAACTTATTCAGTATCAACCAATTAATTTGTCTTTTTGGGGATTGGGGATTTTTGATACCAGATTTCATCTGCTTCTTTCTTTATCTACACACATTTCTGCTGCTCTACTTAAATGAGAGTTGTTGTGTTTGACCCACCTGGATCTGTAGTAAATATTTCTAAAAACACCACACCCACTAACAGGGACACGTGAGAACTTTTACCTTTGATATATCAAGCATGTCATCGTAACTGAGGAGAGCAACTGGGATATCAATTTCCTCATACTGACTCCCATTTCCACCTGGAGGCACCTGCACAGCAGAAAAGAAATAATCATACAGTAATCAAACACGACAGTTTACATAGACATGTCTTTAATCCCACTTTCATTATGCATTGATTGAACAGTTTTGAAAAATGTAAGAGGAGACAGTAAAAGTCCTGAGGCAGTATCTGAATAAACAGTACATGGTTTTTAATCTAGGGCCATCATGTCATATAAGTTCACAGATAGGCAATGATAATTGGTGGGATAATAGAGATAGCATTTATTACATTTGCAAGTGGATTTCTTGTGGTACTGCTTATGAGGCTATTAAGAGAATAACTAGTGCTACCGTTAAAAGATGCTGAGACTATTAAAAATGGCAACGTGACCGAGGCTACGAAAAGCAAAGTTGTATAACCGGGGTATCAAAACCCCTACAAGCAGAAACTGTGGGCTATTTTCAACAGGGCAGAAGTAACCTATTGTACTCAAGTAAGGAAGAACATCAAACCACCAGGAAAACCTTGTGGGTTAAGAACCCCAAAAAAATGAAAATGACAACCCTACAGATGAGCTACCACTGGAGCAGGAACAGGGGAATTAGATCAGACATCACACTACTTGATTAGGAAGATCATTCAGACAAAAGCCTCCAGATCAGGCTGGAAAACAAAGCAAGAAACAATGTTGGACAACAAAGTGCAGAGCTGGATGAACACAGCAGGCCAAGCAGCATCATAGGAGCAGAAAGGCTGACGTTTCGGGCCTAGACCCTTCATCAGAAAAG